TTTTCTAGACACTGCATTATACGGTAGGCTATATTGTAAAATAAATATTTAAATATTACATACGCAATCAACATTTTACAATTTTTTCGTAATTACAAATAAATGAATGAATTGTACAATGTTTAAATAAATGTAAAAATATGTACAATTATTTACGGATCCCCATTAAATTCAAATAAATCACATGCTAGTTTATTTCTCCAATTTTGTATCCATGCCTGGTTGATTGCATCAACCTTATGTGCCACACTCAAAAATTCTATGTACTTGATGACGAACATACCGCAATCACCCCTACAATTAGACAATGTTGTATTAGCACATCGAAAATTAGTTAGAAACTAAGATGTAAATGATAGAAAGAAAATTATAAACACTTACGATATTTGTTGCCTCGTCGTCGTCGTGTTCCGCACGGTGGCCAATCTGTCTTGTACAGTGATGTTCGCTCGTCTAGCCATCATGGGAACGATCACAGACAGCGACTCTAGATTTTGCTCGAGCTAGCCTTGTGTCAGGCATAAATGATCGGGGTCGTACACATACATCGTGGGGTCGGCGAATACGATTTCCACTGCAATGTAGTGATGATTCAGACATACTGGTACGTACATATGCGTACAGCCATCCCATGGCTTCCCACCGACACTCGGCCACATCCCTACGACCTATTCCATCATATATTCCGGCACCGTGTACTCGCTACCCATAGCCCGGAACGACTAGTACTCAATGTCAACGGCACGGATGAACTCGGTGTTCAATATGAGTCTGCCAGGAATGTTGAATGATTTTGGATGTCTTTCAGCACGATCCCGTAGCAAATCCATGCTCAAGTCGATGTGCTACATCAAGAAACACCAATAAAGAAAGGAGTTAATCTATAAATTTCATTCAAAAAATTGATTTTGAACGTACATAATAAATAACAATATTTTCATTTCACTTACATCGTCGGCGAGCCAAGCCCCCGAAGTGGTGATGTCGTGGAACCACTTGTAAGCATTTGAGATCGTCTTCTCAGCAATCGTGCGGCTGGCCCTGAAAAAATAAGAAGAGAATTTTTAGTTATATGAAGTATACATGTGTCAGCGTCTGCGTACTATAGTAATTACATAAAATACAAAACTGACCCAGGCTGCAGTGCTCTCCACTCTGTCTCAAAGGCTTTCCACTTGGTGTGGTCCACCTCCCTGAATAAATTCGGGTGCGTCCCGTCGACAAACCTTCTCCTCTTCGCCTCCGCGGTAAAGGGAGAAAGAACGTACTATGATGGCACCCTTGGCCTCTTGCCGACCACCCGCTCCTCATGCGCCTCGGGAATCTCCATCTCCCCAGCCATCGGGACGACCCCCTCGCCCGCTGTCGGGACCACCTCCTCCGACACAAAGACCACGACCGGCGAGTCTGGCGTCTTCTCAGGTACCACCTCCACCTCCGGTACCCTCTCCTCCTCCGATGCCCCCTCGACATCCCCGGGTATCCCGTGCACGGGTACCACCTCCAGCTCTAGTACCCTATCCTCCTCCGGTACCCTCTCGGCATCCCCGGGTATCCCCTGCACGGGTACCACCTCCACCTCCACCTCCGATGCCCCCTCGACGTCCTCGGGTATCCCCTGCACGGGCACCCCCACCTCTGGTACCACCTCCACCTCCATCTCCGGTACCCTCTCCTCCTCGGGTACCCCCTCCACGTCCTCAGGTATATCCTGTGCGGGCACCCCCTCCACCACATGTATCCTCTCTCGCTCCTCCATCCCCATTGTGTCATCTAAAAATGAATCAAATGCAGCACCTGATGGCCACGATGAGTCAACATACCCCATCTGACCCCTCCTCCCTGATAACCACCAACCCCTCCGTTACCCCCTCCGTCCCGATAATCGCCAGTCCCTCCAACTCGATAGCCACCAGTCCCTCCGTCAGCCCCTCCGTCCCGATAGTGACCTGTCCCTCCGCTACCTCCTCCATCTCGATAATCNCGTAACTGTGCCATGTCCCCAAACTCAGCTCGTAGTGTCACGACATTATCCCGTAACTCTGCCATGTCTCCTCTCATCTCCATTAGGAGGTCGAACAAATCAATCGTCGAAGCACGAGGACTAGGTGCAGGAGGCGATACTGGACGGCCCTCCTGAAAAAATAACTATTACAAATGAATAACCTAACAAATAAAATAAAACGACAATCGAAGAATTATTTTTAAGTAACATACTCTATCTCAATCAACGTTGGACTCAGGCATCTGAACCTCTGGTGTAGCTGGACGTGATATTCTCAGCGGAGGTGACATCCTCGCTGGACGTGCTCTCCTCGGTGGAGGTGATATCCTCAACGGAGGTAATACTGAACGATCCTCCTGAAAAAATAAATATTACAAGTGAGGCATTTAATTACAAGATCGAAGCGATATTCAATAAATCCTGCACAGTGACATACCCTATCTCGATCCATCCTGGACTCAGGCATCTGATCGTCATGCGCAGTACGAAGAGGCAATTCGCGAATATAAAACTGACTCTCCTCCTCGATCGACGGTGCCAACTCAGTGTGAACTTCAAGCTGTCATTTTCATATGTCACAGTTAATGACTATGTATTCAGATTGTAAAAGGACGTACAACATAAATAGCAATTGTATAATACGTACCTCAGGATCGTCGAGGAGAGCCGATAACTGTCTGGCAAACGGCTTGTTTTGTGCTCGCCAGTGATGTATCCGAGGATAGCGTGTCTCTCCTCTCCTCGCATACCGACTGGCCAAGAAAGGGACAGTCTCGTACACCCATATCTGAAACAATTACAATTATTATGTATAGAATTCAATAAAAAAAGTGTAGGTAATTCATTAACTTAAACATATACTTGCAGCGCCAACGGTAGTCCATATGCATCGTACTTGCGCTCGGGCTTATCCCCCTTTTGCATTGAAAACCCCCTCCTAAACACGCGTAATATATCAAGAAAACATCTCCAACCCCATGGGTAGTTGTTGAAGGCATCAATATCTTCAACAACCTCCAAATGAAAAATGTCAATCGATGTCTTCTTGTGATGACACCGGAGTATGCTCTCGATGATAAGCACCAATCCTAACTTCAACCTATCAGACATCCGATCACATCTCCTTAATGCATCTCCTAGCTGCGCTAGAGTAACCGTCGTCTGTCCATGAAAATATTCGTTTAACAGCCTCCTGTTCCTCGGAACACAGGCCCTCGCCTCTACATCATCCGTACATCGCAGTCCAGTGATGAGAGCAAACTCAAATATAGAGAACGTGGCTACCTTGTCCCCAGATCAAAATGGAGGGCGTCTCCGTCAACTGGCTTCAGCAAGCGACATAATAGGGCATCCAGTAGCTGCCCAGACCACTGTACTTCACGCAACGAATACAATGACCATAAGCATGATCGACGTAATATATCTGCGTGATCGTCGTCCAGCAAATCCAATACCAAAGCGAAGCTGGTAAAGTTACAATTCGAGGTAACTTTACTAGGGACCTATCTGACAGCGTCGTCCATCTGATATTCCATCCTGCAAAATTTCAAATATTAGGACCCTATGCAAATAACGCTCAATAAACAAAAATATTAAAAACATATACTAACACACTGCTACTAGATGCAATAACCAACCGATAACGGAATAAACAAAATGAACGTAAATTACTATTTTCCATATACTTAATTTGCTAATTTGATCGTTTATTTTAATATTTTAATTGCTTATTTTAATTATTTATCTAACACTAAATTAACTTTTCATTTTTAATTAATGTTTAAACACTTATTTTAATT